GGGAGGCGCCGAGGAAGAGCTGCGATAAGAGGGAAGCGGGTTAGGGTTGGGCGTTCGATCTGGGCTTGGTAGGAGATGTTTTGAGCCACTGGATTTGCATCCAGCGGTACAGATAGGCTCAGGTGGGTTTCCTCAAGGGTACAACTCGCATTCACATCCTTGGAAAAGACCTTTGTAGCGGAAAAACTTGAACATCCAGAGATTACAAATATGAAGAGAAGAAAAACTTGAACATCTTGTCAGAGGTAAACACACATAAATCTGCATTGTATACTTACATCTAGAGAAAAGCATTGTCTCTTCTTTGGCGAAGAGAATTCATCATACGGAAGCAAAGTGGAATTCATCTCTAAAAAGAGTTGGCATCACTTGATTCAAGGCCACTGACCGATTCTTCAAAAACAAAATAAAAAGCTTATGCGGACACATTGTCATAAAGAAGCAAAACAAAATTTATCACTCCCAATGCCAAGAATTCACCTAAGAGGGCCGGCACACTACACATATCTGTCATGCATGTCAAGACTCGCAAGGGCGGGGGCGTTAGTTTCCTCCATTTAGAAGAACAATGTTGTAGTCAGTTTCACTGCCATCAACAGGAAACTAAAATCTGATTGCCTTCTCTTATCAGCTTCCCTACAAAAAAATTAAAATGTGCCACATACCACGAACTGGATCCAGTCTCAAGGAAGTGTATGTTACTGGACTAAAATTAGCTTGCATTGCTACCTAGTTTACTTAACAAAATTACTATTAGCATAGTGCACACAAAACTGCTACTAGGTCATGGAAAAAGGGGATGAAGAGTGTGGACGAAATATATGTATTCTCTCATCCATAACCTCAGTCCCACGTCAACAAAGTCACGGTATTTGTTCACCTCTACAGTATATCAACAAGCTTGCCACCAGGCTACTGAATAGGTAGTCATATAGAACTTTTCGGTGCAAAATTCAAATCAGGAGTACAAATTTCAGTTCAAAACTAAGAATTATTTGTCCAATTGCATAATGAAAAATAATGTGTGTTTATTAGAAGCACCACAATCTGATAAAATTTCTTGATTATCGAACATGGTAGCAGACACCAAAATTGGACACTCAACTTAAAAAAACCAATACTAGCACGATGCAAATGCGGGTGGATCTGGACATACAAAATACTACTTGTCCTTGCAATTAAACTGTAATTACCACTAACTGTCTCCAAAATCACCACTAGAAAAGCATCGAACGATACCATATGCCCCAGTAGTCGTCGGCGTTAGACGGAGACTGGATGTGGGGAAGAGATCTAGTATGACCCAATTACATGTTCACCCTTGACACGTAGCTTGCCCGACCCCAGTTGCATGTCAGCCCTTACACACAGACTAGCCCGGCCCAATTGCATGTCCACCCTTGGCACGCAACTCGCCCAACCTCAGTTGCATGTTCATCCTCGACACGCAACTCCCGATGACCCCAGTTGTATGTCCAGCCATTACGCGCAATTAGAGCAACACAGTTGTGTGTCCATCCTCGACACATAACTTTTATACGCGACCCAGTTGTAGGTGCATACTCGAGACGTAACTGGGTTGCATGTGTCACACCCGACATGAAAACGTAAGCAACATGACATCCACACAACTAGGGGTCGCCGGATGGTGGGTGCATAGGGGCAGCCCAGGTTGGTGGAATTATAAATTTTCCATTTTCTACTTTTTGTCTTTTCTTTATTTTTTGTGTTTTGGGTTTAGGATATTTTTTACACATAACTAGGATGGCGGGTTGATAGCTGGGTTTATTTATTTACTTTTCCATTTTCCATTTTTGTTTTGGTTATTTTTTATGGTTTTCTTTTTCTGGGGGGGGGGTGCAATTTTTTGGTTCATATATGTGGTTTATTATTATTTTGAAATATCTTGTTTTATTTACTTTTATTATTTTTATTCATTTTGTCACAGTGTGCAGCTAAATTACTTTCCAAAAAAAAATTAGTGGGACTGTGGTATCCCCAGCCCACCAGGGTTCAAATTCTGGTGCTCGCATTTATTCCTGGATTTATTTCAGGATTTCCGGCGATGCGCATTCAGTGGGAGGAGACGTTTTCGTCGACGACGAGATGCCTAGGCGATTTAGTAAATTTCAAGAT